GTCCCTGGGAATGATGTGATACTTGTCCCTGGTCCCTGGGAATGATGTGATACTTGACCCTGGTCCCTGGAAATGATGTGGCTTGTCTCTGAGCTCTGTTTATCTTCAGTCTCATACCCTCAGTGAGTTACCTCTGCCCTAACCCATTAGAACCAAGATCAGGGTGTCATCTTAGACGGAGGCAGAGACAGCAGCTCAGGTGATGTGGTGATGCGGGTGCAGCTGACAAAGTCCCTTGGCCTAATTGTTTTATAAAGCTACGTATAATTATGGAGCCCTAGTGGCACAAGTGGTTGAGTGCTCAGCTGCTAACCAAAAGGTCAGCAGTTCAAATCCACCAGCCACTCCTTGGAAACCCTATGGGGCAGTTCTACTCTGTCCTATAGGGTCGCTATGAGTCAGAAACAACTCAACGGCCCTGGGTTTTAAACATAATTATCATCAGACTGAAGCAAACAGAATCAAATGGAAAGAATAAAAGTTATTTTAAAATAAAACTTAATTCTGAGCATTCTCTACCTCGTCTTCCATAACACTCCCCACTTTTCAGTGTTCTTTCACACCCACCCCACAGTACTGACCAAACAAGGTCCCACTTCTCTCTGAACCTAGACACTGCTTCCCTAGAGACCCGTGCTGGCAAGTCTGTGCCCTCTGGACTCAGAAAGCCCAGGGTGCAAATCACAGCCTGTCACTTATTCTCTGTGTGCCTTACTTCTCCCACCTGTAAAATGGGTGAAGTGATCACCTCTGCCCGTTCTGCTAAGGATTAGAGGCAACATATACGAAGTGCTGAGTATTGTTAGCTGCCCTCGAGTCGGCCCCCGACTCCTGCCGACCCTGGGTGTTACTGAGTAGAACTGCTCCATAGGGTTTTCTTGGCTGTAATCTTTATGGAAGCAGATCGCCAGGCCTTTCTTCGGAGGCATCTCTGGGTGGGTTAGGACCACTAACCTTTAGGTTAGCAGCCGATCGCGAATTGCTTGTGCCACCCGGGCTCCAACTAGGCCTCTGCAAATTGTCATCGTTGTTCCTGGAGTCGAGAACCACGCTAGGCTCCAGGGACCAAGCTCCCCGGCGTCATCTCACTAAGGAGTCAGTGCCCCGTCTCACTGCCTCTCGGGAAGCTTCCACAGCTGTGTGTCTTGTCCCAGGTACAGGCCGGGAGCCTGCCCGGGCAGGTTTCTGGGGGACTCGCAGCTTTCACGGGCTCCAGAGGAGAGCTCTGAGCTGTTTGTTCACACACCTGGAAGAGGTTAGCAGCTTCCAGGACCCGCTGGACGTTCTGCTTGGTGATCAGCGCCTTGCTGGTGTACGTGTAATCCAGGAGGGTGTGCATGATCTCAGCATCCACGCCTTTGATGACGATCCTCTTCTCCCGCTTTTCCTTTAAATCATTGCAGAACATGGCCCTGGAAGAGAGATGTGCCGGTGTGAGTCCTGCCAGGACCCTTGGTCATCCAGGCCTAAAGAGGCCCCCTGCAGCCTGCCTGCCCCTCCCCGGAACAGCGAGGACCCCAAGGCCAGGACCCGGGTCTGTGCTGTTTGTTTTTGCAGCACCCAACACACGTCGGACATTCAATCAGCGCTCCGCCACACCCAGCTGTGGTCGCCAAGGCCACCCACACGTCTGAAGGGCTGCTCAGAGCCTTCCTGGTACACCTGGTGGGCTCTATCCCAGATACCAGTTGCTGTGGAGTGAATTCCGACTCATGGCAGGCCCACATGTGTCAGAATAGAACAATGCTCTATAGGGTTTTCAATGACTGATTTTTGGGGAAGTAGATCACTAGGACTTTCTTCTGAGGCACCTCTGGGTGGGCTCAAAAGGCCAACCTTTCGGTGAGCAGCTAAATGTTAACCCTTTGCACCCCCCGGGGACTCCTGGTGAGGTCCAGAGCTACCGCACTGGCTGAAGACTGCTGTTCAACGTGCTGGGGATTCTTCTGTGAGTGCTGTAGGACTCCTAAATCTCGTTTGTCCTTTTTTTCTCAATTGCCAGCACCCAAACAGGGTCTATGACTAAGTTCTCTGTCCTCACTCCGGCAGTCTCTGGCTGGAGCCTGGCCTCACATCCTGGCCTGGCCGGCTGGGGCCCAGATATCACCACCCGTGGCTCCTGCTGCTGCCCTTCTTCCCAGACACTGGACTCTTGTCCCTGAGTTCCCAGTTGCAGTTGGGAACTTTGAATCCGACATCCTGTGGATCCCCACGTCCCAGGACAAACTCCCCAAGGCCATTCCTCTGTGTTGCCTCTGGCCTAGGCCTCTCCTGCTCCCTCCCCAGGACTGCGCTTTTAGATGGTTAGCCTCTAACTTGGACGCAGGGAAGTAATATGGAGAAGACTTCCGTGTTAGTCTCCACCTATCCCCACCCCGGAGCCCTGGGGGCACAGTGGTTAAGAGCTCACTTGCTAACCAAAGGGCCGTTCTACTCTGTCCTATAGGGTCACTAGGAGTCAGAATCGGCTCAACAGCAGTGGAGTTTTTTGTTTTGTTTTGTTTTATCCTCATCCCTGGTGGTTCACACTCTAGCAGGGGGAGATGCACAAATAACAGTCTACAAGGGCCACAAGGGTCCAGGAATGGCTGCTCATGGAGAAGGAAAATTTTGACAAGCGATGACTGTGGACAGGGCTTCTGGGTAATGAATACAGAGCGGAGGTGTGGCTGTGTGAGAGTGTGGGGCAGGGGAGGGCAGTGCAGCGGGAGCCTGGGGGGAAGTTGGTGGGGAAAGATAACCTGAGTCCTGACTGTGGAAGGCACTGGAGACAGGCTAGGGAGTTAGGTCTTTCTTCAGTGGGCAATGGGGAGCCATTGAAGGTTTATGAGCAAAGGCAGGACTCAAAGGGAACATTCTTAACAAGCACGTTCTCTCTTTCATTTGCTGGTGGTGGGTGCCATTGGAGTCAAGCATTAAAGTAACTACACTTAAAAGAGCTGCGAGTAACACCGCCAGAGCCTTTCCCCAGAAATGCACTCATGGAGGCAGTATCCACCCTACTAGGGAATGTCTCCAACCAGTGGTCATCGGAGGTTCTGAGCTGCAGAAATGTGAACAGGTGCCTTAGAGAGCCATTCTCCCGAGAGCAGCCTGGAAGTCCCCAGGCTGGATCCCTGATGACAGAATGTTCTTGCCAGCACCGGGACTCTGTATCAGCACAGAAGGGGTTACGTCCCTAAGTCCTGCTCCTCCCCCGCCTCCACCCCCTGTTTACATCTGTAAATTACTCATCAGCTTCTCTCCTCCACTTCCCAGTATGCAAAACAAAGATCACTACTGCCGAGTCCCAGGGCCAAGCCATCAAAAAGTCCAAAGAAACACTGAACGCATCATTAGGCCAGTTAACTAGGTTGTCCCGTGAAACCACAACCCTAACCCTCCAAACCAAGGCCCCAAATCCCATCAGGTGTTCGGCTCTACATACACAGTCTCCACAGCTACATTTTGTTGTTGTTGTTGTAGTAAATCTATCACACAACTTTTGCCAGCTCAACTTCTTACAGGTGTACAACTTATTGACAACAATTACAGTAATCAGCTGTGCAACTCTACCCTTCATCAAGGCAATTTTTCCATCGCCATTAACCCCCCTTTCCTTCTCCTTCCCGCCCCTGGTAATGACTGATAAACTTTGGTCTCTATACATTTGCCTTTTGTTGTTTTTTTACATGAGTGAGATCATACAATATGTGTCCTTTCGTGACCGCCTTATTTCACTCGGCATAATGGCACAGTGGTTAAGCATTTGGCTGCTCACCAAAAGGTCAGCAGTTCACGTGCACCAGCCATTCCTTGGAAATCCTATGGGGCAGTTCTACTGTGTCCTACAGGGTCACTATGAGTCAGAATTGACTTAATGGCAATGGGTTTGGTATTTTTGTTGTGGTCATTAGTGTCTTCAAGATCCGTCCATATTGCAGCATGTATCAAGACTTCGTTTCTTCTGCTGGCTAAGTAGTATTCCATTATATGTATGTACCACACTTTGTTTATCCATTCATCTGTTGATAGGTATTTGGGTTGCTTCAACCTTTAGCTATCGTGAATAGTGCTGCAGTGAACATTGGTGTGCAAGTCTCTGTTTGAGTCTCTGCTCTCAAGTCTTTTGGGTATATACCTGATAATGTGTTTAGTGCTTCTGTTCTACCTCCTAGTTCCTTGCGTAGAGCCTGGGGTCTTAAAAGCTTGCAACCCAGGGCACAACAATTTCCTTCACCTGAGGAAGAAGAAGAGTCAGGAATAGGAGGAGAGTATGGAATGTGTGGTTAATTGTCTCCATGAACAACTGCCTCCTTTGCCATGAGACTAGAAGAACTAGATGGTGCCCAGCTACCACTACTGAGCATTTTGATCAGAATGCTCTATAGAAGAATCCTGATCCAAAGGGGGAAAACGCAGAACATAAATTCAAATTCTCATGGAATTCAGACTTTCTGGGGCCATGGAGGCTGGATGAACCCCTGAAACTATTGCCCTGAGATAATCTTTAAGCCTTAAACCAGAAATATCCCCTGAAGTCTTCTTAACACCGAACAATAGTTTAGCTTAATTAGTAAAAAATTTCTGCCTTGAGCATTATGCTCTTTTAAGAACTATCTATATGGGATCAAAGTGACAACAGAAACTGAAAAGTTAGAAAGGAATCTTAGGGAGCAGTGAGTTTATGTTACTGGGGGAGGAACAAGTCAGAAAAGGAGGGTGAGAATGGTTGCATAACTCCAAGAACGTAATCAATGTCACTGAATTATACACGTAGAAATGATTGAATTGGTGCATGTTTTGCTGTGTATATTCTCAACAACAACAAAATAAAATTTAAGAAAAAAAACAATTAATTAGCTGACTTTTTGAACTTTTTAGACAGTGAAATCTTTCCCCTCTCTTCTCTCTAGTTGCCTCTCTGTCCTTGTCATTTTAATGAATGATAATCCTCCCACCTTTCTCTTCTTCCCCCTCAGCTCACCTTTTTCTCCTCACAAAAATACGACAACACGAGAGAAAGAGCCAACGTGAATCCCAGGGCCTGTAAAATTAATAAAATGCCAGCCCGGAACCAGAGGAGCAGTGATGTCAATGGGCGGGTGACTGATTTACAAGTCACATTCTTCAGCCATAAATCACTTGGCCAGCAGCACAGAGCTGTCTGCACTGTCACGTGCCTTTAAAAGTGCTATCGTATAGGACTTGCCTTGTAGTCTCCTGATTTCACAAAGAATCCTGCCATCTCGGCAGCCATACACTTTCTTCTCAGACCAGCTTGTCCTCCTGGGAGGGGTTGGACAAGCTCGCGCTCTGAACCATCCTTTGTCTGAATCTCAAGAGCAGGGCTGCCCAATAGAAATGCGATGCAAGCCATCTATGAAATTTTAAATTGCCTAGTAACTACATTTTAAAAAAGTCATAAGAAACAGAAAAATCCATTTTGATAATATATTTTATTTAACCCAATATCATCATCTCAACATGTAATCAATACTAAGTATTATTAGTATTAATTTATATTCTTTTTTTCATACCTTCTTCAAAATCCCACATGTGAATTTGATACCTAGAGCTCATCGCAATTCAGACTAACCATATTGCAAATGCTCAATAGTCACCTGTGGCTAATGGCTACCATATTGGAGAATGCAGCTATCCCAAGCCCTGGTGTTGGAGTCACGAAAATCTGCAATCGTTTTGGGGATAAAATGAAGCACACCTACATGAATGCAATGTACATGAATATATGGAGAATGGGGCATTTAGCTAGAGAACGTGGGCAGTGAACATGGGGTTGAATGAAGCTTCACACAAATGAGACAACATGCTTCTGGAGCCCCATCAACATGAATTTAGAAATGCTACTTCAGCTAAGGAGTGGTGGTAAGGTTAGCGCAAGGTGAATTTTGCTGACTCTGTATAATCTCAAACACTGAGATGAAAACTGGAAAAGTCTAACAGAGAGACTTAATATTAAATGAGGTCCGCATGTGCATGGACATGGATAAAGTGAAGCTAGGAAGAAACCTACCTATTTCTTCTAGACCAAACTCCCAGACCTCCAGGGGCTCTCCCAGGAAGTCTGTGGAAACACTGGGCAGAGTTGGGTCTCCGTGAAAGGTGCCTCACCTGGGCAAGGTGGCCTACCCCTGGGTTTTCACGTTAATATCCATAACCTTTTGCATTTATGTTTATAGCACTTTGTGGGGTACACAGCACTATCTCCCTTGATTATTACACCCATTTTATAGATGCTAGATGCCCTGGCGGCACAGTGGTTAAGAGCTCAGCTGCTCACCAAAACGTTGGCAGTTCGAATCCACCAGCTGCTCCTTGGAAACCCTGGGGAGCAGTTCTGCTCTGTGCTATAGGGTCGCTATGCATTGGAATCCACTTGAGGGCATCGGGTTTGGTTTTTTTTTTTAGA